GCGCTTCGGGACCGCAAAGGATTCGGGCGTTTCCACTCCTTATAAATGAACTCGGCAAAAAAAGGAATGTAGGGAAACACCTTAGCGGTACGCTTGCGCTTATGCGTTCCAAACTGAACCGAGGCCATAGTAGAAGTGCCAGGAGACTCTTCAATTTTAAGCGTCTCACGGACGGCGCGCACCAGCGCAGAGACCAGCTCGCGTTCCTGAACCATGAGCGCCGACGCAGATTCATCCTCACTGCCCGAGTGCGGCGGCGAGGAGTCCCCCGGATCCGGAAGGGGTGACGTGGATGGAAGTTCCCCCTCCTACTCGGACTCCCCAGACAAAGCCGGGGATGGCAAGGGCAGAGCCCGTTTTTTAGGGGGCCTATGCGTGAGAGCGCGCTCAATGCGCGACACAAAAATTCCATAGATAACGCGGTACCTGAGGCACCGACCGCCCCCCCCCAGGGGCGCCGCGGCGACTGGCAGAGAAGCACAGGCGTACAGGTAGCGCAGAGAGGGGTCCGCCGAACGCAGCCCACAGCCCTCAAAAAGGCAACCCGGCAGGATCTTCCTTACGATCCATAGCCCCCGCACAGCAGCACAAAACTGCCCACCACAGAACCACCATCAGGCCACAGGGAGACCACCCGCAGTACTCACGACCCCCAGCTGTGTCACTGTGTCCAGCACCGGCAGCGTCCGACCCCCAGCAAGGGAGAGCTGAACCCTGTGTCCTTCCTGCAGCGGCGTCTGAGGCCGAAAAGAAGCGTGTCCCCGGCCGTCCTAGGATGAAGAGAGCCTGGGCGGAAGTGACGCGGCAGAAAGGGCAACTTGCCCTATTCCAAGATGGCGGCCGCAACGACACCCAGAGGCCGCAATGGAGCAGGGGCCTCGATTTTTGGCACGATCGCGGCACCCGCGATCGTAGCCGCGAGCGCCCAGATAGCCCCTCACCGCTCCACAAAGGCTCCCCCCATGGACCCCACAGTCCAGGAAGGGCAAGACACCCACCAGGAGCCACAGCCCTGAAGCCCCACGAGGTAGATGGGGCGGGAGGGGGAGGAAGCTGGAAAAGCTGCAGCCAGAGAACATGCAGCCTCTTACCTTGTCGCTGTCCCCACAGCGCTGGCATCCACAACCCCAGGTCCAGCAGGGGAGTGAAGGAAGGCGGACACCCCCGCCCGCAGACGCGGCGCCGCCAGGCCATGCAAGTGCTGCGACAGGTGGGCCGGGACCCCCTGTCATGTGCACCCCGGGGAGTGAAAGTCGCAGCCGACCCGCCGAGGCAGAGCCTGCATGCGCTCGATGGCCACCCAGGGGAGACTACCAGGATCCATCACCATCCAGCATGTCGCCCTGGTGACACTTGCTAGCAAATCCGAGAAAAAAAATGGAAGGAAAGAAAATTTCCAGAGAGAAATTTTTTTAGCTCCTTACTCCTGACGCTAGGCAAAAAACTGGAGACTTGTCAGCAGGTGGGGGGTTGGGCCACCAGCAGGGGCGGCCCCTAGGCTGTCTGTCTTTTTTGTTATGTGCCTAGCGTCCTACTCCTGCAGGTGGCAATATACCCTACCTTTCAGGATCTCCGATCTGTTGCCCTGTGTCCTTAAATGAACGGGAGAGAAAACCTTTTTTTAGGACACTCCAATTGCCACCTATTTTGTCATTAGTGCAGATATGCACCATGACAGCTGGGTCGTGCCCAACCCCATCCAGTAACCTGTCAATTAGTTCCGCAATGTGTCGAACACGAGTCCCTGGTAAGCAGCACACTGTTGGGCGCTCACGGTCTCGATGACAGATTACCCTGTCTGTCCGCTTGATGGAACTTTTCCCTGTGCTCAGAACTCCATCAGATAGCAGTCGTACACTGCTCGCCTTTACATTGTTTGTGATCTCCGTGGCCCGTACGAGAAGCGTGCCGGTGCTTGAATTCCTACGACTGAAAGTCATAAAGAGGAATTCCAGGCTGTAAAGTCTCTGTACTGGAGGGTGGCGAGTATATTTACATTTATTACACTGACCTCTGTGCCACCAGTCCAGAGATCTTCATGCTGAAAATGTAGGAGGTGACATGCTTCCACTCCCTGCTGAGGGCTACTGAGCGGAGGGCCAGAATTAGTAAATTTGCTAATAAAGTGGATGCCTGTTGAAATGTGCACTGGAAAAAAAAAAAACATGCCAGCTCCCTAACTGTATGCATGAAGATGTCAGGATCAGGACAGCAGAAAATTTTACATTTAATTAATAATGCTTAAAAATTAATGAAATAATTAATAATGAAATAATCAATATTTAATAATTAATGT